GATACATTAATTTATATTATGCAAATTTCAGTTCGGAACATGATCGGGATGGGTTCGACTCGTTCGGAACAAAATCGGAATATATCTGTAAAAATTTTTTTATAGGGTATTGTTAATTAAGGTGTCAATTTTGGTCAAATTTTGAAATTGGTGATTTTAGTTTGTGGGAAATTGGTGATTTTAGTTTGTAGAGAAGTGAAGCATATTCAAAATTCTTTGATTTTCTTGACAAAAAAGGCAGATTTTATTATGAATGGTTAGTGCACTAATTATAAATGTTAGTACTTATTTGGATTAAAATGTTAAAATTTCTATATATCGTGACATAGGTGGGGAGATGCACCGGTCCATACAATTGCTGCAGCACTTTTCTTAAAGAAACATCAGGTCCGTTATTTTGAGAAAATTGGGTATAGCCATTCTGGTCTTGTAAATTGTCCTCGAGAAAGAGAGTTTCAATATAAATGTTTATGCTTTCCTGGTAAATTCTGATTAGCAATTAACAATTAAAAGTTATTTTATTCATACTGATTTAATTATTAATCAATTTTATATGTGGCCTAATTTAATATTGCAGAATATAATTATGAATCAGATTGCATTAAAGAGTGAATATTTTACTTATTCGATTAATATTTTGATTTTTTTGATTTTTTTCTAACTTAACGTGCAATGGAATCTAGTTTTTTAGACAAATACCATAAATTTACACCAAAAATACAAATTATAGGAATTTAAAGCTTTATAATTTATCAATATTTTATACGTAGAATTTATATGATTCTAGAATATTATTAAATATTGAATCAAATCAACAATATGAATATTGGTTCCGAATATGTTTAGTAGGCTAGGCAAGTGCACAGTATTTTGTGTCAAGAGCTATACAGTATATTTAATTGTTGATTATTATTATTTAGTGTTTATTTTACAGCTCTTTCCAGGTTAATTTATATGTTATTTGATGATGTTGTGTATTCTTGTGATCTGCTACGCTACCACTTTTAGCCAAAAAGAAAAGGGTAATTCTATTTTAACCCGGGTCAAAATGACCCTCAGCAAAATTTTAGGGTTAGTGCGAGCTAGAATTACGTTGATGCCGGCAGGGTATTTTTTTAATATAAAAACCCAGCTGGCATTAACATAATTCTGACCCACACTAACCCTAATTCTAGGAGGTGTCTTTTTGACCCAGGTTAAAATAGAATTTCCTAAAAGAAAATTGTCCTCAAAATATTTCTTTATCTTGAACAATACGTTACATAACATTTATAACGTATATTATGTTACGATCTAAATCTGATACAGCTCTCCCATATTTTTTTTATCGAACGCAAGTCATATTTATAATAACAAACAAAAAATTAGGCTTGATGGATTTATATTCACCTATTGCTTAAAAAAAAACACCTATCTTATTGTAAACAAGTAGATTACATGATTTTAGGTAGCGTTCCCACTAGGGTGGTTGGCAAGCTGGCTAGGTGAGCTTGCCAACTACCCTAGCTTATACAAAAAATTCTAATTTTGACCAATCAAAATGTAAGATCAGGTGTCAAAACAAACGTGTTTTGTTTTCTAAGTAAAAAAGTTACGCATAAAATGAAAACCAAGAAAACCGTGTTATAATTAGAGTTAGGATTAGAACAATATAATACTTATTAGTAAAACATCACGAGAAACATTTTTAATTAGGCCACAGAAGGTGGTTTACAAATTAAAATTTAGAGTTATTCTTGTTTTTTTTGTAAAAAATAGTTGGTTTCGATTTTTACATTACACCTGATCCTGAAATTCAGTTGGTCATAATTGCAGGAGATGAACAAATTTTTGTAGGGAGCTAGAGGCGTCGATAACATCGCGTATACTTATTTGCGCCTGTGATACAAACCAAATAAGGAAATTTCTTATGTAGATCACAAGATCAGGTGTAACTGTTAAAAACAAAGGCTTTTTCAAAAAATAACCGGTAACTCAAAATTCTGCCTAAGAAATCACCTTTAATGTTCTAATAAAAAAAATTTCTTGTAAAATTTTAGTATATACTACGCCTTAATTCTAACCCTAACATTGTGACTCTCATGCATTATTTGTGCTAATAAAAAAAGATATGTTTTGTTTTTTTCCTTTTTTGGTTTGTATCACCTGCGCAAATAAGTAAATCCGATAACATCAATCAAAACCAAAGTGAGATCTGACAAACTGTTACACATAATTATAAAAAATTATGCCATGTCTAATTGTAACATGTTTACTTGTAATAACTTAATTAAATTTATTAAGAATTATATAATAAAAAGTAATATGCGTTTCACCCATGTTTTAATTAGACGGGCCTAATTGTTATCATTTGTGCAATAATTTGTCGAACTAATTATGGTTCATTTTGACTGACGACATCCCACATTGTTAATTAGTATTAGCATAAAAAACTCAGCTGAAAACTACGCCTGCACTTATATAATAGCATGTTTGTTTAATGTTAAAGAAATTTTTGTGCTTCACACATATGCACACGAATTTTTATATTGTTCTGACTGTATAATTAAATTTTTATTTTAAAAGAGAAGATCAGCCCCGAAGCTATTGCGGTCCTCAGCAGTGTTGGCCGATGACCTTTATGACCTGTCATAGGTCATTTGGTCATAACGAAGGTTGATATTACTTTATGACCTTTTAATACAGTAAGATTCATAGTAAAAAAAAAATTTACTAATATTTGATATGACCGATATGACTTATGACCAAAAAGTCATATGATTATATGACCAAGGTCATATTGAAAAAATGTTATGACCTATGTCATCAGCCAACACTGGTCCTCAGCGTGAAACAAATTTCGAAGTTCTTTTAGCTCCAAAAATTAAGTGTATCCAAAGGGCGGTAAGAATTCATCGAATAAAAGAAATTGCAGTATATAAGAATTTGTAGAGTAACTGTAATACAGTCTACCCTCCCTATAGCAGGGATTGTAAATGACTTGAAATGACCCAAAATGACTCAAATGACAAATGACTAGTCATTTGTCATTTCAAGGCCCAAATGACCTTAGAAGGTCATTTAAATATGTTGGCTAATATTCTAATACCTTTTAACCAATCAGAATTGGCCACAAGCAAAATTAAATTTTATAAGAATATAATCAATAATCGTAGCTATATATCAAAATCAAAATTTTACTAAATCAACTAATAAGTATGGCTTAAGTAAAGCTGTCAGGATAATAAATTGTGCGTATGTTGAAATTTTCATGTAAATTAAATACCTTTTTTATTAATTACTTCCGCATTTTACTTTTATATGAAAAAATTTTAAATTTTTGCGTGTAAATGTAATATACGAAAGTAATAATAAAAAGGTATTTAATTTACATGAAAATTTCAACATACACAATTTATTATTCCAAACAACTTTACTTAGTAAACTTAAAATTTAATATATAACTACGATTATCGATTAGAAAAGTAATGAAGTTCGATAGCTTTTTATATGAATAATTCAACCATAAAATTTAACCTCTATATAAGAACAATTCTTTATAAGCACAGAATTTCGTAAAGCGAAGGGCATGATTATAAAGAGGTTTGACTGTAATAAGCATTACTGTAAAATCTTGCCAATGATCAAGTGACATCTGATTCTGCATTCTGCATTCTGTCTATATAGCGTTATTGCTTAATTATTTTACCTGTTTCCGTTTTTTTGTATCCTACCACGATAATCCATTTGCTACTAAGATATTAAGATTTGTATAATCTATCACTGCATTCATAACGTGGAATTGTATTATAAAATTTGAAGGGGTTTAAAATTAAAATGACATTATCCATAGAATTTGGCAATTTTTTCCTAATCATTTCACATCATCTCAGCTTTATTATCAATAATCACCATCTAGCATCAGATATCTCTACAAAATTGATGTTGTTTGTTGTTTATTTTTATTTTCCTTGCTTTAAAATTTATTTCTTTTTTTTGTGTTTGATATTTCTTTTCTCTGCTATCTACGCTGTAGAAATATCATTCGAAATTAATTCATGTTTTGACAGTTTATCAAATAATTCGGCAGTCAAGGGCATAAAATTTTTCAATATATGTTATAAACTAATAATTGAGAAAAAAATTCATCCAAAAAATTCAAAGGATCAAAAAAAAAAACAAAAAAACTTTCAAAGTTTCGGTAGAAAGTCATCTGACTGCTGCCTCGATTATTTGCTTTCTGGGCGAAGATTTTGCACGCACTTATTTGCGCGAGTAATACAGACTCCTAAAAAGGGGTCGTTCTAAAGCGGATTTAATTTCACGTGATTACAGCCAATCAAATTATAGAATTTTGATGATCGCCGGCGAAGCAAACCAAAAAATAAAAACCAAAAACCCGAAAAATTCAAAAAACGGCCATCTAAACCTACCTCGGGTAGGTTAATCAAAAATGTCGGGAAGGCAATTTTGCTTATATTTAACCACATAAAACCTATCCTGACCCTAATATAGGATGGCCCTCACCCTAAAGTTAGTCAGAAAATTATTAAATATAAGGTCACGTGAATTTGACTCCGCTTTAGAATTGGAGTGCAAAAAATTTGACAGTTCCGGATCAGCCCGACATGAATTCCGAACACGTGCCAAAGAAGAAAAAGGCGAAAATACTCAAAAACTAGTGTTTAAATCGACCTTAACTCACTAACACTAAACTTCTATCTTTACGCACTTAGTTTATTTACAAAATTCGATTTCCTTTTTGGTTTTTTTTTGGTTTGTGATACTCACACAAATAAGTAAACTGGAAGATTTTCTGCACAAAAATGGAATATTTATTATCATCATAGAACATAATAAAAATCATCATCCCTGTGTTACACTAATGATACAGTCGACTCCCTCTAAGTGCAGCTCGCCGGGACTTAGAAAACTTTTTTAAGTAAAAAAAAAATAACCTGCATTTAAAGGGAATCTGCATTAAGAGAATATAGCTTTGATCATATTTACGTTGCTCTTGACTATCGAACGGATAGACATGAAAGATTAGATGTAATAGCATTCTATATTGCATCACCCTAATTATTTTTTTGTTATCTCTAGACATGAACACATTTTCAATAAATATATTTCCGCAGGTATGAATCCTTCTCAAAAAGTTTGTTATTTAAGTCATTATTCAATTAATATGCGGGATATAATTATATTAGTTTATTACTTTTAATATTATATATCCCAAATACAGTACCCGGCTCCTCATAAGCACCCACGGGTACTATTCAATTTAAAACATGAATTTTTTGAATAAGAACCCAGGTGCTGTATGCAGTGGCAAATTGTAGTTATTTAAGTAAATAAGCTTATAAATCTACATTAATAAAAAAATATTTAAGTAAATAAGCTTATAAATCTACATTAATAAAATAAATCTATATTAATAAAAAAATATTTAAGTAAATAAAATTATAAATCTACATGAATAAAAATATTTAAGTAAATAAAATTATAAATCTACATTAATAAAAAATATTTAAGTAAATAAGATTATAAATCTACATTAATAGAAAATATTTAAGTAATACTAATACTACCAGGACTAAAAGTTAAATAGTAAAGTTAATATATAATCATAAAATTGGTTGGTTAGAAAAACTATCTATAACATAAATCAATTTTTTTTACGATCTATAAAATTCTTTGTTTTAGTACCAAACTTCCCCTCACTTAACCATTTCTTCGCAATATAATTAGTTAAATTCATAAAAGGCCTTTCAACACATTTAAAGTAGATCCATGATAAAATAATTGTTGTAACAAATGACAACATTACCGCGTCCAAAATCAAATCAGCTTTTTCATCTCTGTTTGATTTTTTCTTTGCCGCTTTATATCCAATAGATGGTACATATTCGTTCACCAATGCCATTGCAAGTGGATGTAATAAATATATACTAAATGAAATTTGTCCACAAAAACGTAAAAAACTACAAGAAAGTGCCTTTACAAAAGAGCCTTTGCGGGAGAGGAGGCCAAAAAGGATTAGTATTGCGTCGAGCAAACCACCAAAATATTGTCTTTCTATAATTATTTCATTAGTGCGACGTAAGCCAAAAAATTTTCGAGTTAGATGAGGCATTGTGCAAAATTTCAAGAGAACTAATAAATAACATCCAAAGTCAAAAAAATATCTCGCAAACTGATGTCGACTCGGTAATTTACTAATAATTAATTCAACAAAACTCAGTCTTGTAGGTATATTACAATTATTTGATTTATTGGTCAGGGTATCCTCTTCTTCTAAGCTCAATGGCAACAGTCCAAGACGAATTATTTCTCTATACCAAATTGCACAAATTGATCCAGTCAAAAAGATATGAATAGCGCCCCAAAAGTCGATAACGTAAAACTTGGTTTTGTTTTTATTGTAATTTTCACTGTGTGCTGCTAAAAATTCTGTTCGTATAGTCACAAGAATAACATTAGCAATTATTCGACCTATCCAAGCACCAATTGCAGGTTTCTGGTAACGGCTTGCAAGGAAAGCACCAAAATGGGCAAACTCCACATATCCGATGACAATTATTGGTATACATAAATAATACTATATACAGTATAACAAACATGTTAATGCATTAGGGAAGGAAATTACTAATTAAATTTAAAAAATTCGACATATTGAACGGCACACGCATAGATTGAATGGCATGTCAAACAGACTGAATGATGCCGTTCGAAATATCGAAATTTTGATTTTGACTGGTGAAAATTTATCAAAACTATTAGAAAAATAAATACCTTTAATTCTAGAGGAATAGTCCAAAAAATAGAATTTTTATTCGTTTGAAAAAATAGATGCGGAATTAAAGTAGTCGAGGAATCCATAAAATTTGTATATGCCAATTTCGGGAAATCATTAAATGCAATAAAGAGTAAAAGAATCGCATACGGCGGGTATATACGCATAACTCGACGAAGAAAGAACTTTAACCAAAATTTTATTGGCATTTGATATTTTAGCCATATTTTTTTTCGAATATAATAGCAGAAAAAATTATCTGGTTTTTCTTCCAATGAGGATATTTCATTCTAATATTTTATTAATAAACGGTTAGCCATAATTATAAAATAATTTCAATCAAATAGAATAGTACAATAAGACATTACAATATTATCAGAATCCGTCAATGATAAGAGTGGGACCTTTGATAAGTTTGGTTCGAGGCCAACGCCACTTTCTAAGTGAACAAGTTTATTTACCATAACTAAATCGGTATTTTTTTTCTCTTCCCTCTTTTCGCGATACTTTTCCCAATCCAATAATGACCGAAGAGTAAGTAAAAAAGCGGAAAGCACAAAGAACATGATTACTCCATAAAGTCCCAATTGGTCGAATGCCCTAAAAGCCAAACGTTGTTTACCAAAATTTTGGGTGTGAGTATAAACGACACCTAAAGCTGCAACACCACGAATACTATCAAGGAATGTAGCGTAGAACGTAGGTTTATTTCGATTTTGATTTGAATCTTGCGGAGACATCATTTTTCATATAGTTAATTTAAAGAAAAAAAGAGTGTGAATTTCTTCAGCTTATTGAACGGAATTGAACTCGATTTATTAATGCATATAGGTAATTATTTTGGAACCTGGACCAATTTATATGACATATTAACATTTTTGACCCGAATTTAAACATAATTACCCATATACAACCGTCGATGTTACACAACTGATCCTTCACCCGGTGTGCACCATATAAAAAAATTATTTTACGATACCAGATCATTCCGCTAGTACATGTTATGATTATAATCCCAACCCATTTTTATTATAGTGGGATTATAATCATAATGTACTAGCGGAATGATCTGGTATTGTAAAATAATTTTTTTATATGGTGCACACCGGGTGAAGGATCAGTTGTGTA